TCCGATATGACCACCTTATTCAATCTTCGGTGTTTGATTGTTCTCCATATGTAGCCAATGTCTTGGGATACTCTCAGCGCTCGAATTGTTTTTAGATATATTTCGACACAGTGATTATTACCACTAGTTTCATTAAGGCTAAATATGTGAATTTTTCTTTGCTTGGTACTCACAATGCCTACGCCTACAAGATGCACGAATACACGACTTAATCTTCCTGGTTTTGTCTCTTGGGACTGTCTTGATAAAACTCTTGGAACAACCTTGATACCACAATTATTGAGACAGAGTTGAAGCTGAAACCTTGCTAGAACAAAAATAGGGAAATTAGTCGAACTTTAAAAATGTAAACGTTGATAAATCTTCTCTCTATAAATCAAAAGAGAAAATATAATTTACGAATTTCTTATTTTGTGTGTAATAGGATTCAATGCATATATAATGAAAAACATTGAGTGGATACGATGGAAAAAAATACAAAAAAAACAAGTTTCTTCTATGTAAAATATTGAATTACCGACGTGAAAAACCTATAACATATTGATGAAAACATTTGTTATTATGTTACTGTGTCTAGTATTAATGAAACCCAAATTTTGACCGCGAATTAAATACTTCGTCAATCAAGGTAGAGGTCTGATCCACAGCTATGGATTATTTATGTGCTTACGCTTTCCAGCAGGGACAAAAATATAAAACTTCTGCCGATAGATGATATGTCCCATAATGAAAAACAATGTTTTTCCCACAACTGTTTTACAGAATGATTATGGTAAATTTTAATGTACATTAAATTACCCGTTATATAATTTTATTAATGTTGTTCAAGACTTATTACGCGGTATTCCGACAAAGGTTGCTACCCTATAATATGCCGTGTTGCACGACCAGTTCCACTGTATCATACTTAGTTTATACCGTAGTGGCGAGATTACATTCACTTCCGTGCAAATACCTTTGGGAAAGGTAGAAATCGGGCTACCCCTCCAGCTATGGGTAAATAGCAGGACAGACCAGATCTTACAGCTTTTGAGCGGGAACAGATTAAGGTGGACAATTCTGAATTACAACCACAGGGGAAATATCCATCAAAACCTGCGATTGGACAAACGCTGTGAGTATGGCTACACACTTGAATAGATTGTCAATTGGGGAGCGGTTAAAGCAAGCAGTGAGAAGGCATTGGAACTTGATCTAAATCTAGATCTGAAATGTAACTTTTTCTTCATTTTTTTATGAGTCCTATCTATTCAGAATCATGGCTCTCCAAAATTCATATCTTCTTAACAAAATTTCTCTTTTTACTGTCTCTCTTAATCCTTGTTATTTCAGTTATTTCCCAAGCTTGTTATTGCCTTCAATATAACCTGTGCCTGTCAAATTCTCCATGCCATATTTCCTCACTATATGACCTAGAAATATTTAGTGTCACTTTCTTCTTCTAATTAGAAATATCATTTTTGTTTTCATTTTCTTTAAAACTTCGCCATAAACCATAGGTTTAGATATGATATTCTTAGTATCCTTCTGAAGAATGATATTTATTAGTGCCATAATTGAAGAGCAATATTATATAGCAGGTCAAAAGTATTTTCTTTGGTTCTAATGAAATTTTAATGCTTGTTAATACTTTGCATAGATTTTAGAAGATATTTTTCGCTATTCCAAAGTGTCTTCTGATTTTAGTATGTCATTTTCCATCTACATTTAATTCCGGAATTCTAAATATTCATAATATCTTTATTCCCGTGTCTCCAATTTGCACATCGCATCTTCGGCTATTTTTGTTTTAACAACCAGCAATTGGGTCTTTTAACACTTGAAGTTTTGTCCTTTGTTTTGACTATATTTTTTTACTATCTTCTGTAGAATATCTTGTGTTTCTAATATAGAAAACGTTATTCTTACGTAAGAATTTCTCAGGTTAGAGGATTAATGAATGAGATTGTTTATAGACGTATATAATTTAGATTATGAGGAGATAACCGTTGACCCTAGACTTGAATTAGTTAAGATTTTGACAATCAGGGAGCATCCTCTCGCTTGTATATTCCACAAAGCAGCGACGCTTGAGAAGAATATCAGTATACCGGGGATAGAATGAAGGAAACCTGAATATGATTTAGAAAACTTATGGGGGAATTGTATATTGTCTATTGTCTACAGGAAATTTTACTTTCGAACTAACAGAATCGATACGTTTTGTATTTGTAAAGAACTAACGTTTTAGACTGTCATTTTTTCCTGATACCTCTGACTTTATATTATACTACAGTTCTCATTAAAGTTCCAAAGAACTTCTAATTATTTTTAGATTTAACAAGTTCATGAAAACATTTTGTATTTCTACATGCATTCAATGAAAATTAGTGATTGATTGATTGATTCTTTTTTTACGTGTTATCAAATCTATGCAGGTTATATAAAACCAGCACATACTAACCAGGAGATAATAATGTTTTAGTAATGTAAATCTTATTAGTCAACCCATAGCTTGCGGAAAACAGGTAGATTCAAACCTTACCCAAGTTTATTTGCGCGTACGTGAATACATTGAATGCAAATGGAATTGGAACCCCACAATCCGATTAACAAAAGTTTAGGGGAAAGGGATATAATAAGGATTTAGGTATACATGTTCTACTAATTAATCCATACCTGGGGGAGAGAAGTGGGGAATTGATACCTTTCTCAAGGGTATTTGCACGTAAATGAATATAACGAACCCAACTGAAATTGAAACACTGCCTTCCGATTAAGAATTTCGAGAATGATCTATTACACCATGCCAACGACCAAATTTTCAGAACCTGGTATTATTATGCTACACACCAGACTCGATTTTGCTTAACTTTAGTGGTCGTCCAGTATTCAGTGTTTCAACCGGATGTGGCCGCAATTTAATCGAAGTTAACAATATCACAAGAAGTTTTCTTTCATCGGATTTTTTTTTCTAATGCAGGAAAATCTAATCTGTCCTCAGTTTGTTCCTATAAACAAAAAGAAAACATGTTAACCTTAAAATATATTGTGTTAAAAGCAATAAAATTCTGTTAGAATCCAAGGCAAACCACTAATGCAATTGTGTACCTATTCTGCCACAGATTCATTTTGTTGACATGGCACTGTTTGTAAAGGAATTGGTAACGGGAGAATGCGCGTATTTTTCTTAAATGTTTTCCTGATTGTTTTGAAAATGAACAAACAATGACGATAGAATCCGTAGAATACCATTTAAAACAACATAGAAAATTTTATTTAAAAAATATAGGAAAGTAAGAAAACACTTCATCGTAAAAATTCATAATGGTGTAAACTGCGAAATATTACAAGTGAAACATTGTATTTGAAGTAATAATGATGAAGGAAAGAGACAGAAAAAGATGGAGACTATTAAAAATATGTAACCAAAGAACTTAAGATAACAATCGATACTTATATAAATTGTTATTTCTGTCCACGATTTCTTTGTCATTAAAATAGTGTGTCATATTTCTGATTTACGTTGAATACTCATATAGAGGGAACTATGTGTAAATTGTTGCCATTTCCTATTTTTTTTAATTTCGCGAACGTGCTTTGTTTGTTTTTGAATTTGTCGACTGCTCAGTATATTAAAGTCAGTTCGGCACCGTCTTGAGAAAAAAGTGCTCTATGACGCAAATTACTGCGCCAGAAATTTTGAAACAGCATTCTGTTCTGTTTGTTATTCATACTGATAGCTTCAACACGAATATTTCAAAGTGTTTGGGTTACAGTCTGAAGAGAATGCAGGAGATTCAGAAAGAATTGGATGATTCTAATGGTGATTACGAAAGTGTTCGGAGTTATCACTAGTGAAAGGTGTTTTATACCTCCATTCATTTTCCCAGACTTAACGGAGGCTTGCATCAAATGTCTTGAAGAGTTAGTGCTCTCCTGCGCCAAGAGACTGCTGAAAGACCCTACGTCTGACAACATGACTCTGCATTATGCCAGACAAGCAGGATAACCCAGTCATGGTGCTCAGACAATTTCTGCGACAACATCACCACTTACTTAAGGACACTTAACTGTCCAGATTGCAACAACCTTAATCATTGTTTGGCGTGCAGTTGTGGGAAAGACCAAAAAATTCAATTTAACACCAATCACGAACTGAAGGCAAGGATCCTGCTTGTCTGGCATAATGCAGAGTCATGTTGTCAGACGTAGGGTCTTTCAGCAGCTCTTGGCGCAGGAGAGCAATTCCGAAAATTCCTAAAGCCAGTCGGGTACCAAGACTAATGATCTGCACTTTTTGGGATTGTAAATAGGTATTCGAATGATGGAGGTGAATGAACATTAAGATCATCGTTTGTTTTTCCACAGACCTATGTCATGAAGTGATCACTTCTGCTTCCGTATTCGATGGCAATACGACACAGAAGATAGCTGTTATCTACTCTCAGGTAGTGGGGACTGATTCTAACCAGCTAACGCGCTACCATCTTTAAAGGAAAGCGGATGCAAATTACTAGTAGCAAATGATGGAAAAGGTAACACGATGGAATGGTAATCCGAAGCCGCAATGGAAGACTGAAATATTCCTTTAAGAAGAAATACCGTACATCGAATTTGAATGTTGATTGATATTATGTTAATCTTACTAAACCCTTCTTTGAAATTCATTGACAGAAATACTGTATTCAGTTTAATACACAACCAAGAGAAGTAAGTTATGTCAAATTGTTAAGACCAAATAGCATTTCTTTCACATGGTTCGGTTGTTTTTGTTTAACAGTATATCAACCTGTATGAGAGATGTAATGCTGAAATCTAAATATATTGTACGCTATTTATTTTTGAGATAATAATGCTTTTAATCGTACATTTATTAATAAATAACCCATAGCTGTGACGAGATGCGGATTCATAACTTTCTCAGAGGTATTTGCGTGTAAATCAATAAAATGATCCCAACTGGAATTGGAACTCGGCTCTCCGATTAACAATTCTGAGCCATTGTACATTAAACTACCGCACAGTACTGACCTGGCTCTACGATGCTTAACTTCGGTGATCGAACGAGAACCGGTGTTTTCAGCGTGATTTGACCGTAAGCAAGTACTTAGATGGGGGACCGCTTGGGAACACCTGGTATTGTAAGCACTCAAAGTCCAACCCTTACCTCACAGTCGGTGGGGGGTGTAAACGGTAGTGTCAGAGCTATGCCGTCCGGAACTTCGTTCCTGGTAGGGCCACCCAAGGCGTACAGGTCTGACACACACGCCGGCTAACAAGGGCTCTGGTGAAAATCCAAGGAGCGTCTGCATCGGCAACCGGCGGCTTCTGGTCGTTCCTGTCTCTGCGTCTGTGGGAATCCCGCGGCAAGCAAGAACGTTATCCGAGTAGGCCTGGGTACCCTACTTCTGTAATTTATCCCAAGAATCTTCTTCTCACAACAGGAAGAAGCCGGCTCAATCCGCCCAGGGTGAATGCCGCATCAGGAAACTACCGCACAGCCAATCTTACATCACCTGGATTTCCCAAGCATTAACCCATCGAGGGTTGACAAGGATATTGCTTTAATTCGATAGTCGTACGGCAACTAGTGTTTCAACGTGATGTCTATTGAATGGTTTGTTTCTAGAAACACATTTTTACAATGAAAAATAGTAATCAGCTGTATTGTGTCGGAATAATTACATTATTCGCTTGCGTCCGTAGTTGGTAAAAATGTCAAGGTAAATAGAAAAAAAACGAAACAAGTAATCTTGGCGAAATAGAATATTTTTCTCCATTCTCTGGCCTTACGAACTCAGAGGCTAAAATTTAAATTGTCCGAACATATGTTTAAATATTTTTTTCGAAAATTTGATGTTTTCTTAGGAACATAAAACATACGATTTCTTCAAAGCAATGCCTCAAACAATGTTTGCTAGCTTGTTCTATATCAGCGGCCACGGATGATTGCTTTTAGTTTCCATTTTTGTGTAACGTTACAAAAACCACGTTCTTCCAAAATTACTCGTGTGTAAACACGCCTGCATGGGAATATTTCCCAAGTGGTAGAAAGCGGTCAAATCTCGATAAATATAAATGTACATACTAAGAATATTCTTTTGTTCAAGATGTAGGCGCCAAGAGCAATCCTCGGTTGTTATTTGTTATGAGAAGCCACAAAATAAGATAAATGCATTAATGTAGAGGTTGGCTAAGAGGAATGAGAGGAGAAATAGCGTTTGCATTAAGCATAATTGATTCTGTACATGTATAGCTGTATGACATTGGATACCTAAAAACGTATTGATTACATTATATTAAAAAGGGTTAAGCGTCATGGTTTTATATACGGTTCCGTGAGCCTGCATGGTGACTGAGGCAGTTACGTATTTCCAGTTGGAGGAAAAAATAAAGTATAGTAAAGAAAGAAAGAGGAGAATGCAAAAAAAAAATGAAGAGTTTGCAACGAATATTAATGAGAAAATGTAAGAGAGGGCAGAAAGAAAAGAATGAAGAAAAATAACAAGGAAAGTGAATAATAAAGAGAGAGGAGAAATAACAATGAGGGATAATGAGGGAGTAGTTTTGGAGGAGAAGGGAGGAACTAGGAGTATAAGTAGAGAGTGAATACTACATGGAAGATTAAGAATGAAGGAGGAAAGTGAAGGGAAAACTGAAGAGGAGGCAAGCGAAAAGAATTGGGGATGAATGAGAAAGTAAGACGAAATGTGTAAGAAGGGCAACGAAAAAAAAGAAAAGAGGAATAAAGAGATTAGGCAAAATGAAAAGAACGAGGAGGATGAATAAAAATGTACATGAAAAAATGACGAGGAGAAGGAAAAATAATGGAGGAAAGAATAAAGAGGAGACGGTTAGAATGAGGAAAAAGCGATAAGGAATAAAAGAATAACGGTGAGGAAAGACTAAAGAAGAGGTGTAAAGAAATAAATTGGAGGAGGTCAGAAGAAAGAGAAAGAACAAAGAATAAAAAAAAGTGGAGGAAAGAAAGAAGAGGAGGAGGAGGGACGAATAAAGAGGAGAACGAAAACGAAGTGGTAAAAGAAAAAAATGGAAGAGGAAAAAATGAGAAAGGAATGAAGAAAAGAAAGAAAATAGTGAGCATAAAGAAGAGGATGAAAGAATAAAGATAAGGGCAAAGAATAAGAGAGAATAATGAGGAGGAGTAAAGAAATAAAGAGGATGAGGTAACTAGAAAGAGAAGGTTAAAGAAAATTTAAAAAAAAAGGAAGAAAGAATTAAGAGGAGGAGGGACAAAAAAGAAGAGAAGGAAAATGTAGGGGACGCGGAAAGAAAAAAAACGGAAGAGGAAAGATTTAATTAAATCAGGAAAAAATGAAGTAAAGAAAGAAAATAAAGAGGTGGAGGAAACGATATAGAGGAGAAGGAAAGAATTGTGAAGCGTAAGAAAAAAATAAATAGAAGGAAGTATTAATACAGAAATTGAGAAGATGGCAATACGTTTATGTTCGAAAAGCAGTTATCATTTTAAAAACAGATTTCATGTTTTGTGCTGCCATGTTTTTTCAGGATTAAGGCGAACATGGTACTTCACATATTCTTCTGTGCCCTATTCTTTCAGGTCGTTAGTGATAATGGCTCTACAAAATATCCTCTCCATTGTAGTTCTCAGTACTTTTTGTCTTTTTGTGATCTCTCCTAAACCCTGTTCCGTACTCATATAATCAAGCTCGTAAGGATTGCTAGCCACTGTTTATCTCTGTCCATCGTGTGCCTTCAATATGTCCTGTAGGTGTGAAGTTTTCCAAGAACTTTTTGCTCATTATGTGTCCTGGAGATATCAACTCTCACTTTCTCATGTTAAATATAAATATCCCTTTTCTCCCATTTTCGCTCACATTCCATCGTTGTTCCCTGTCAGTCCATTGTATTCTCACTATCCTTCTGTAGAACCACATTTATACCGCCTCATGTCTTCTCTTCCTCTATGCGGAAATGGTCCAGCATTTACAGTAGGCGGATGGATAGTACATAACGGTTCAGTAATCTTTTCTTTGTTTCTAACGAACTTTTCCTGTTTTTTAACACTTTATTTCAGTTTTAGACGGTACATTTCTCTATCAAAATGTTGCATCAGATTTTTGTGTCGTACTTTTCTTCCGATATCAAAACACTTACCAGATTGCTGCATTTTCTTTATTAATATCTGTGAAATGCCACTGCTTTAAGTGCATCCTGTTGCTTTCTCTACCGTTTTGAATTCAAAGCGATCTTTCTCTTAGATCGATTGCCACCAAGCGATAGAGATCCAATGTATTCTGATAGTGAACCCATAGTTAATGTGGGATCAGATTAATTCCTGCCTTTTCCAAGACTATTTGTACGAAAGTTAACGCAACAGACTTGGCCTGATTTTTAACCCAGCTCCCAACTTACTACCTCTATACCAAATACACTTCAAGCATATTCGTCTCATTAGATGTTTGTGCCGAACAGTCTTTCTTATCTAATGAATTAGACTAACCTAATTAAAATTAGACATGCCGTTTTTATATGTTCATTATTCTTTTCTTATCTCTTACGAATTTTTAATTATAATTGTACATTACTTTATAGGGATATTCAAAGAATCTTTTGCGTGCGTGTGTAAGTAGCGGGGGGCTAAATTATTTTGGAACACTTCTTTATATATAATATTGAGGTGTTTTGAGTTGGTTCCATAAAATATGAGAACACTGGAATTGAAAAACCTGTTGCGTGACTACCCACAGAGTAATCATGGAAAAAGAATATAGCAACATTCAGAAGTAACCAGGAAAAAAATTATATAAAATAAAAATTTATATGAATTTTGGCAAATTTACCGATAACGCTAAACAATTTATTCAGAAATTTGAAAGATTTATATAAAAAAGAATTAGTAGACAAAACTTATCCATATTATTTAACAAAACATGTTTAAAAGAATTCTTGCAGAAATACACCTTTTTATATATATATATATATATATATATATATATATATATATATATATGTGTGTGTGTGTGTGTGTGTGTGTGTGTGTAATGGCATCCCAAATTTCCAGAAACTGTCATATTTCTGTTCAGAAGTCTAATTTTTTTTCTCTAGTTTAATCAACAGAGTTAACATTTCTTGGCTAAATTCGTATCTGCAAAATCAAATATTCAATGGAACATTGAGTTCTGCCTAGATTCTATACTCTTGGAATTTTTTATTCAAAAATATATATATGTATGTGTATGCATCTATGTATATATATATTTATATATTTTGCATATGTATGGGTACATTTACCACTGATAATATCTGTCTATCTTTCTATATATATGTTCTCGGAGTCAGTTCGATAGAGCTCTATAGAGAAAAGGGTAAATTTAATAAAAACAGTTGCTGCTGCTATGAATTCATTATTCTTCAATTACGAATTGAATTCTCTTAGCCGCTGGTGAATTTCGGACAGAAAACGCTAAAATTTCCCTTTCTTTTTGCCGTGTACCGACGACTTACTGATGCCAAATCGGTCGAGTTCCGATGCCTGAAATCTAGCTAAATATCTAGCCACACTAAAGAGTGGTGATATAGCGAAACAGCCTGTCTGTGGATGAGTATATATATATATATATATATATATATATATACGTATGTATGTATGTATTCATATATGTATGTATAATCTTACGAATAGATTTGCTTTCTTATATGGAATCATAACCGATTCATAGAGCAACATCATTCGCAGGAGAGACAGATACATTCGAGTAAGCCTATGTCGTAGGTAAGACAACAGTATTATTGCCAAGAGTGACACTAATCTGTATTCAAATCTTGGTGAAGACCATATTAGTACTGCTTTTTAAGTCGGATGAATCCTTCCCCGCAAATCATTTTTTCGAGCTTTTTCCATATTTAAACGAAGCGAAGCATAAATCGACATCATCGTCATAAAAATCAACACCATCATCAATATCAGCATCAAAATCAACATCATCATAATCGTCGTCTTCGCTATCGTCATCTTCAACATCATCACCATCGTTATCACGTCCATTATCACACCCTTGATATTTCCCTATCATCAATCCCAAGTTCACTAGCTACCCTCAACATACAGTGTGTGTCTTTAGGAAAGATTTGCGGGCCTATTCCTCACGTAGCCTTGTCCGCTAACTTCAGTACACACAGCGATACTGAGTTATCATCGTTCTGTATTCCGTTCCGGTATTTCAGTTAAGTGCAGATATGGCTTGAAGCTGGTAAAAAATTGCAGTAGTTTTTCACTGAATGAAAACTCTAAACAATGACACATGATTATGCCTACATAGCTCGTTGACAGGGATGTAGAACCAAGGAAATGCACACACACACACACACACACACACACACACACACACACACACACACACACACACACACACACACACACACACACACACACACATATATATATATATATATATATATATATATATATATATATATATATATATTACTGCCATACCAACTAAATGTTATTCTAGTATTCTTAAAACGGAATATTTCTTATTCAAAATTTCGGATATAAAATATCGTCTCGATTATATATATATATATATATATATATATATATATATATATAAATATCTATGTATATATCTATATGATAAAAATATTTTTAAGTTATACTATCTTTATTGATAAAAGTGGCTAATATCATAGATAAATCGGACGTAAATATAAAAGCGGTAACTGATATCAAAACTAAGCAGTGACAAACGGGATTCACGATTAGGCATATCAGCTGTGAAGATTGCGTTAAATCACACAATCAAACTGTTGTTGACCTCTGTCCACTGATATATATATATATATATATATATATATATATATATATATATATATATATATATATATTATATACCTTTCCTCATCCCAATTTTGGGTTACGTGTTAATAAAATTAATGAAGACAAAAACAAAAGGATAAGAAAACTGAATGAAACTGGATAGACTACAAACCGAAACGCATCTAAATATACGATTTATAAGTTTAAATTATTAGTATGCCAGCATTTCAGTTTTTGCATAATTCTAGCCAACGCTTGTGTGTTTTATATTACCTGTCCATTCCTACACATGTATAATTCCATTAACATTAACATTACTTTTAATCTGGCTATGCTCTAAAAGACGACACCCGTCACACAACATTTTCCAGGATATTTCTCACAATAAATTATTAAAAACAGGATTAAAAAATAAACATTAGGATTCGAGAGACTACTCCTTGAATTTTGAAAATATGTCTCCTATATGAAATAAAGATTTTCCAAATAAATAAATAAATCTCTGACATTCCTGTCAAATATATGAATAAGTTAGTAAATACAAAAACAAAAACATGTGTAATAAACGAAGTCCGCCCAATGACACTTAAAATGTTTTTAAAACAATCAATGGATAAAAAATAACTTCAGGGATAACAAATTGTGGCCAAAAATTATTAAAATATGTATTTTAATAAACAGAATAAATATACAGTGTGTTCCGAAAATCTTGTCAGCCCGATGTTGTCCCTTTCTATCTGACTGTAATGTCTTCTGTATATGAATGAAGTATTCCTTAATCTTTCACCGCCACTAAAACTCCAGTTGTTGTTGAGGTTTGAAGGCACTAAAATATTTTAAGTAGAAGAAGATAAAATAAAAGACAGGTTTCAAGAAGACAGGAAATTGAGACTAACGTTCCATTTAAGTTTTTGATAATAGTACGTGTTAGGGCTTTGTGATATGGCGTCTATCATGACACAGCATCTAACACGACAGTTGTGATAGAACAAGGTCGTACGAAAGTCTTGTTAGCGCTACCAAAAAGTAATGAAAACAATGGAACAACAAGTAATACAGTAATACAAAGCATATATAGTGGATTTATTTTATTCAATTTCATTTACGTTGTCACACATCGAGTAGGTATGTATGAACACCATCATTTCTGTATCCGCCATCTGAAATACAAAATTATATTATGTAAGAGTGACAAGACTTTCAGACCAGACTTAAAAGTATAATACTGCAATAAATAACTTAAATGAATAGATTAATAAATATACACCACTTCTCTTATTTTATATAATACATGTTGATAGAACATACCCCGTATATTTCTGTCTCTTCAACCCAGACCGAACCAAAACTTATCTTTATACATTAACTATGTTGAGTGATATCATAG